GGCGGATCACCTAAGGTCAGGAGTTCAGGACCAGCCTGGCCAACATGGTAAAACCCTTTCTCTACTAAAGATACAAAAATTAGCTGGGCGTGGTGGCAGGTGCCTATAATCCCAGGTACTCGGGGGACTGAGACAGGAGAATAGCTTGAACCCAGGAGGCAGAGGTTGCAGTGAGCTGAGATCGCACCACTGCACTCCAGCCTGGGTGACAGAGCGAGACTCTGTCCACACACACACGCACACACACACACACACACACGCACACACACACGCACACACACACACACGCACACACACACGCACACACACACACGCACACGCGCGCGCACACACACACACACACACACACGCACACGCAGATCAGGTAGGATGTGAGGTGTGTCCTCATGGCCAGGCATGGGGTGGGTGGGGCCGGATGACCACAGGGACTCGTCCTATGGCCACTGCTGCTCAGGAAGTGGATCGCAAGGAGCAGAGTTGCCAGACCCTTCAGTTCCCAGCTCCACATTTAAGGCAGGTCTGGCCATGCGCCAGGCCTCTGCATGTGACCCGGGCCTCACTGTGGCGTGGCTGCCTGTCCCGCCTGCGGATGTTGCCTGTGCTGTGCAGAAGCCACACAGCCTCCAGGGCGGCTCCCCAGAATGCCACATTTCCTGTCTCTGGCTCTGATGGCGTCTAGGCTGGCAGGGGTCCCAGCACCAGCAGGCCTGTTGCTGGGCAGAGCTCAGGGCCACGTGCAGTTGGGTCTGGGTGAGAGCATCTCATGGGTTGGTGAGAACCCTTCCAGCACAAAGGGGCATTTATCAGACGGGGATGGCATGTCTCGGGCTGAACACAGGAAACACAGAAATAGCCTTTCACAGAGCGCCAGCAGGGCTGGGCTCGCCTGCTGTGGAGGGTGTCGGCTTTCCAGCTACTTCTCCAAGCTGTGCGACCCATCCATGTTGCCCAGCGAGTTGTTCTGTCCCTGACAGGGCGCTCTCTGAGAACGGTCCTGCTGCAACTGGAGGGAGAGAGGCAGGGAGGGGAAAGGGGAAGACTTGGGGGAGAAGGGGGAAGGGAGACAGATGGGGACAGACAGAGGGAGGGATGGAAAAAAGGAGAGAGAGAGAGAGGGAGGGAGATGGAAACGTAGGTTGTCTCCACTGGAACAGTCTGCCTCCATGGTTCTCCATGATGGGAATGGAATTCATGTCTCAGCTGACAGCAAGGGTCTCCACAGTATGACTTCACCTGCTTTCTCTTAGTAAGGCAAGAGCAGACAGGCAGACACTCCAGAAGTGACGATGTGTCCCTGAAAATACCTGTCTTTCCCAGCTTGTACATCTTTGCTTGTGTTACTTCTTCTGCCTGTAATGACTCTCAAAATACCCAGACTGAAAAAGAATTAAGCCCCGCTTGACACCTATAAATAATTTCTCTCATTGTACTATGCTAAAAGAAACAACGATAGTAAAGTTTTAGAGAGGTAAGAAGCAGTCCTGTTGCTAGTACAGAGATTGAAGATTCAAAGCCTTCACTAATTAGGATGTGTTTGTCTCTCACATGAAAAAAGCCTGGAGATAGGCAATCTAAGGTCAGCATGGTACCCCCATATATACATATATATATATATATTTTTTTTTTTTTTTTTTTTTTTTTGAGATGGGGTTTCGCTCAGGCTGGAGTGCAATGGCGCAATCTCCGCTTACTACAACCTCTGCCTCCCGGGTTCATGTGATTCTCCTGCCTCAGCCTCTCAAGTAGTTGGGATTACAGGCGCCTGTTGTCCCAGCCAGCTAAATTTTTTTGTATTTTTAGTAGAGACAGGTTTTCATCATGTTGGCCAGGATGGTCTCGACCTCCTGACCTCAGGTGATCCACCCACCTCGGCCTCCCACGGTGCTGGGGTTACAGGCCTGAGCCACCGTGCCTGGCCTGTTTCTTTTGTTTTCATTTTTTGAGACTGAGTCTTGCTCTGTCTCCCAGGCTGGAGTGCAGTGAGGCAGTCTCAGCTCACTGCAACCTCTGCCTCCTGGGTTCAAGCGATTCTCTTGCTTCAGCCTCCTGAGTAGCTGGGATTACAGGTGCCCACTACCATGCCTGGCTAATTTTTGTATTTTTAGTAGACAGGGGGTTTCACCCTGTTGGCGAGGCTGGTCTCGAACTCCTGACCAAAAGTGATACACCCTCCTGGGCCACCCAAAGTGCTGGGATTACAGGCGTGAGCCACCATGCCTGGCCCCCATAATGTTACTGGGGATCTTTCTTTTCTGTTTTGCAAAGTATATAACTTCCATCCTCAAAGTAGCCTCATAGTACACGAAGGCTGCCGGATAGCCAACCATCACAGTGGAGGTGAGGGGTGTGGACACTTGCTGATTGATGACCAAAATATCCCAGGTATATACCCTTTCACACTTTTCCTATGCTTTTTAAAATAAAGACACTCTTTACCAATCAGAATCACTGTACATATTATTTTGCCACTCAGTTATATCTACGACTACATCTTTTTATGTTATAAAAATTCTTCTGCAACATGTGACTGCTTGCAGTTCTATTTTGTGGTCATATCATGATTTATTCAACCCAATGGACATTTATCTTTTCCTTTATTTATTTATTTATTTATTTACTGAGACAGAGTTTCATTCTTGTCACCCAGGCTGGAGTGCAATGGCACGATCACAGCTCACTGCAACCTCCACCTCCTGGGTTCAAGCGATTCTCCTGCCTCAGCCTCCCAAGTAGCTGGGATACAGGCATGTGCCACCACACCCGGCTAATTTTGTATTTCTAGTAGAGACGGGGTTTCACCATGCTGGCCTCGAACTCCTGACTTCAGGTGATCCACCTGCCTCAGCCTCCCAAAGTGCCGGGATTACAGGTGTGAGCCACTGTGCCTGGCATCCTTCTTTTATTCTTCTGAAAACAACGCTATAATGACCATCCTCTCTAGTATGTAAATCTCTGCACACATACTTGAATGATTTAAGAATTAATTGCCAGCCTCAAGATGGCCCCCAATGATCCTTGCTTCCATATTCATAACCAGTGTAGTCTCCCTTCCCAGTAAATCAGGGAGAGTGCATGTGGCCAATAAATTCCAGCAGAGGTAGATGGTGTGTGACATCTGAGGCTGGGTCATAAAGCACATTGTGGCTTCAGACTTTTCCTTCTGGACTGCTCATTTTGGGGGAAGCCAGTCACCATGTCATGAGGACAAAGCAGCCCTGAGGAGAACCAATCCCTTGTGGAGAGGAGCTCGGCCCCCAGTCAGCAGCTGATACCAACTTGCCATGTGTGAGTGAGTCACCTTGAAAGTGGATCTGCTGTCCCAGCCAAGCATTCAGATGAGACCACAGCTCTGGCCAGCACCTGACTGTAGTCTCATGGGAGACCCAGAGAAAGAACCATCCTGTTGAGTCTCTCTTGATTTCTTGGCCCGTAGAAATTGCTAGTGATAGTAAATGATTCTTGTTTTTTAAAGCACTAAGTTTTAGGTTAACTTATTACACAGCAGGAGTGATAACTTAAATGGTAACTATTTTGGCAAAAGAGGCCAGGTTCTGCTATAATATCAAATAAACCACATCTTGATGGCTAATACGATAAGGTTTATTTCACCCTCACTTACGTCTGATGTGGGTAGGAGGACTCTCCTGCTTGGCACTCAAGTCCCAGGAATGGAGGATATTTTCACCTAGAAGCAGGACACTTCTTCTCACATTCAGGTGGTGAGAAATCCATGTCATCACACCCAGCAGCATGGGGCCAAGAAATATAGTTTAGTTGTATGCCCCAGAATATAACTAGATAATTTTTTAGTATTGCCTCTGCCACAGTGAATCAAGAGAAATAAAAGTGACTACTATGTATTTGAAAAGTGAAAATTCCCAGAACTACAGAAATGCATATTGAAACTGATTCCCAGTGTTTCACTTCCTATGGCATAAACAAAACTCCCTTTTTGAAATCTGAGAATACCCAAACTTCCACAATTGCTACAGAATAAACACTTCCACACACAGCTGATAGGAATAAAAATGGGCTTGACTTTTCCAGATAACAAAATTGCAAGATTTATCAACAGCCTTTAAAATATTTATATTCCTTGACCCAGATAATTTTGCTTCTGGGAATGCATTCTAGGGAGATATTTTTTATAAGATAAAAGCTTTATGCATAATTCACCATAGCATTATATGAAATAAGGAAAAGTTGCAGGCAACTTAGATGTATGCCAGAGTAAAGATAAATTATGGCACCTCCATGCGATAGAATATGTGCAAGCATTACAGGAAGTACAGTGGAGCCCGTCAAAGCTGACGCTACAGCCTTACTTGGAAAAGACTGCAGAGCTGAATAACCAGCAATGATGTAAATGCAGACACATAGGAAATAAACATTGAAATGTTACCAGTGGTGTCCTCTGGGTGATGGGATGAGGTTTGCCTCCTCTGCGTCCTTGCTGTCCTTTCCCCGTTCCCCCAGGGGGCGCATGGCACATTTGTAGCCCTGCTGGTCTTTCTCTGTCCGTCTGTTTGTTAGATAACAAAAATGCCCTTCTTCAGAGGGTTTGCCTCTGGTGCAGTGCCGTGTGTACTTCCTACATTATTGTCATTATTATTATTTTGAGATGGAGTCTTGCTCTGTCGCCCAGGCTGGAGTGCAGTGGTGTGATCTCTGGTCACTGCAACCTCCACCTCCTGGGCTCAAGCGATTCTCCTGCCTCAGCCTCCCGAGTAGCTGAGACTACAGGCACCCGCCACCACACCCAGCTGATTTTATAGAGACAGGGTTTCACCATGTTGGTGAGGCTGGTCTTGAAATCCTGACCTCAGGTGCTCCACCTGCCTCAGCCTCCCAAAGTGCTGGGATTACAGGCATGAGCCACCGTGCCTGGCACAGAGGTTCCTGTTGATTCAGTGTCCTGGATCGCAAATGCAGGCAGGTGAGGCGGTAATAGTGGGGCCTCACGGTTGTGCCATGATGGGTCAGGAACATGGGATCTGAGTATGGAAAACACCGAAGAGTTCTTGGAAAACTTCACAGACGAGGACAAAAACGAGAGAGTGTGGAGAGAGAGAAAGAAGGGAATAGGGAGAGGGAGGGAGGAAAAGGGGTGATGGGGGCCGAGCCTATCCCATTTTTCCCCCACCCCGGCACACCTGCATGGTCTGGTTGTCCCCTGAGGCCACTGCCCACCTTCTTGCTGACTTTGCTCGGGCTACAGTGACCATGAGCTCCCTCTAGCAAGTGGAGCTGTCCACGACCAGTCTGCCGCTGTCTGCAGGGATTGGCTTGGGCCCTTGCGACACGAGGGCTTGCTTCCCGCGGCCTTGCAACAGGTATCCCTTGGCCAGGACTGGACCCTTTCCTCTCTCCCAGTGGCCGTTGGACATGGGTGTCCAGCTTCCCAATTAGGGTGGCAGTTCTGGCTTTGGTACAGGACACATCATCACCAAAGGCCAGTAACCACAATCGTCACCCATCCTTGTACTCAGAGTTTGAGGTGGGGGCCCCCCCGGAGTGAGGCACCAGCTCACAGAGGCCTTACAGGTGGCAATGCTAGCTCCAGAGGCTTCTAACAGCTGCCCTCACTCCCTGGGACTCACTGCTGCCCTCGGGGTGTGATGAAAGGCAGGGAGCAACTGCTGTCACCAGGATCTGCCCACAGGGTCTGCCCTTAACCCTAGTGTCCATAAGACTGTAGGACAGAGGAGTCAGAAGCTCTTTTCTCTGTTAAAAATTCTAACCGTATTAGAAAATAGCAGAATTTATTTCCCTCCTTTTTTCCCCCTTGTTTCTGTGAATTTGTGTTAAACATAAATGTCAATTAAAGTGGACTCCGATTATCATTTTTCTTCCTTCTCTCCATACTGGGCTCATGTGCTGGCCCAGCCGGGGATGAGGGAGGCACCCATTCTTCCCAAGATGGGTTCCAGAAGCAACATGAGGCCTCTGTTCGTGGAGATATGGAGGTAGATGAAATGCTTGTGCTTCACCTCCAGGTCAGGTGAGAGTGAATGTTTTAAAGGCAGCATCACAAATGTGTGTCCTCCCCTCTGGTGTCCAGTCTGACCTTGGGAGATGGTGGCCAGAGAATTCATCCTTGGGCGCACTGCCAGCGTTGGTCTATAAGCTACCCATATCTGTCCATTAGGAATGGGATGGGGCTTCATGTAACAGAAATAAAATTTCCTCCCACCCATCACTACAGCAGACCTGGGCAGCGACCGTCTTGCTCAGAGGCTTGATGTTGTGTGGGCCTCATCTCTGGGATGCTGTTGGCCTTCTCCTCAGGGTTGCTGCCTACTGGTCACAATAGGGCTGCTTGAGGTCCTGACAGCATGTCTGTGTGCACTCTGGGAAGAAACAGGGAGGAGACCACAAGCCACATGGGCCCCCTTTTCTCTTGAAAGCAAAAGCCCTAACTTTCCCCAGTAGACTGCACCTTAGGTTTCAGAACCACCCTTATCTTCGAGGAAGGCTGGGAAATATGGAACTGAATTGGCCGTGTCTTGACCTGTCACCTGGACTGAATATGCTGTTCGCTGGGGCAAGGAATGGATATATCCAGTATCCATTCTTTCATTCTTTTTTTTTTTTTTTCGAGATGGAGTTTCACTCTTGTTGCCCAGGCTGGAGTGCAATAGCATGATCTCGGCTCACTGCAACCTCTGCATCCCAGGTTCAAGCGATTCTCCTGCCTCAGCCTCCTGAGTAGCTGGGATTACAGGTGCCCACCACCATGCCTGGCTAATTTTTGTATTTTTAATAGAGACTGGGTTTCACCATGTTGGCCAGGCTGGTCTCGAACTCCTGACTGCAGGTAGGAGTGTTACTTGCAGTCCTACCCAGAGTGCTGTGATTACAGGCATGAGCCACCTCACCTGGCCACAAAATGTTTTTGAGGCTCATCCATGTTGTTACCTGGATCAGCGGTTCTGAAGTCCTTCTCCCTGCTAACCAGCACTCCACTGTTGGGATGCACCCCAGTGTGTTTATCCATGTACCTGGGGAATAGGCGTCTGGATTGTTCAGCTTTAGTTGTCACAAATAAATCTATTCCTTAAGACACTGCTGTGTAAGTACTTGTTTGAGTAAAGGTTTTTATTTCTCCTGAGTAAACAGAATGAAATTTCTGGATTATATAGTAAAAGTATGTTTAGTTTTATAAAAAACTGACAGACCATTCTCCGAAGTGACTGTGTGTTCCATTTGCTCCGTGTCCTAACACTTGATATTTTCTGGCTTTTGAGATTTTAGCCATTATAATGTGCTTGAAGTAGTAACTCATTGAAGTTTTAATTATCCTTTCCCTGGTGAGTAATGGTATTGCATACAAATTCATGTTCATTAACTCTTTATATATTTTCTTTTGTGAAGTGTCTGTTCAGGTGTTTGGCTCATTTGACAATTCAGGTCCATCTAAAACATTTTTTTTTTTAATTAGCTGGGCATGGTGATGCATGTCTGTAGTCCCGGGTACTCTGGAGGCTGAGCTGGGAGGATCCCTTGAGCCCAGGAGGTCAAGGCTGCATACAGTGAGCTGTGATCATACCATTGCACTCTAGCCTGGGCAACAGAGCAAGACTGTGTCTCTAAAAAATAATAATAAATTTCAGGTTATTCATTTTTTTTAGCATTGGCTTTTAAAAGGAGTTCTTTATGTATTATGGATACTCGTTCTTTTTTCTTTGAGACAGAGTGTTCCTCTGTTGTCCAGGCTGGAGTGCGGTGACTCGATCTCGGCTCTCTGCAACTTCTGTCTCCCGGGTTCAAGTGATTCTCCTGCCTCAGCCTCCCAAGTAGCTAGAGCACAGATGTGCTCTACTACGCCCACTTAATTTTTGTATTTTTAGTAGAGACGTGTTTCACCATATTGGTCAGACTGGTCTCAAACTCCTGACCTCAGGTGATCCACCTGCCTCAGTCTCCCAAAGTGCTGGGATTGCAGGCGTGAGCCACCGCACCTGGCCTGGATACATATTCTTTTTCAGGTATAGTTATAAATATTTTTTCCGGTTCTATATCTTGTCTATTATTTTCTTAGTAGTGTCTTTTGATAAGCAGAAGGTTTACATTTTGAAGTCTAACTCACCAAGTTTTACGGTTATTTCTTTTGGCATCCTGTCCAAGAGGTCTCTTTTTACCTCTAGGGTCACTGCATCTGTTCACTACCTCTGAGCTCCAAGTCACCCTTCAGTTCCTGCTCTGGGATAACATTTCTCCCTCCCAGTGAGTGCAGTGCCAGCCTTTCGCTATAGAGGGCGCAGGGGGGCACTGCACGAGGAAGGGCTCTTTTGCCGACTCCGGACTCCCACAGCTGCAGGGTGGGTCCATGGTGTGGGGTCATCACCTGGATGACCACATGGAGTGCCTGGTGCTGGCCATGTACTCCAAATGCGCGTCGCCTTTTGACCCTGGCTGGTGACTACATTTCCATGCCCTCTTGATCTGGAATTCCACATGCTCCAGGCCTGCCTGCACCCAGACTTGCTGCACGCCTGGCCAGCAGGGCCCCAGTTCCACAGTGCCTGCGCCCCACCAGCAGCGGCTGCAGACTAGCCTGGCCCAGGCAAACCCACGGACCTAGCAGCAGACAATAGCACATCTAGTGGGCCCCAAATACACCTTCTCTGTGGAGGCCTCCTTCCACATGGGCCTTCCTGGTGCCTCCCTCGGCCCTCGAGCACCTGAGTTTTCTTGTATCTTCTCAGTGTGTTTCCTATCCCTGATGACACAGCCACAGAGATACTCCTCTGTGTCTTCCTCTGGAAGCTTTAGGTCTATGGTCAATGTGACATGAATTTTCTTTTGCCATTTTAACCGCTTTTTTTTATTTTTGAGACAGAGTCTGTCTCTGTTGCCCAGGCTGGAGCACAATGGCGTGATCTCAGCTTACTGCAACCTCTGCCTCTCGGGTTAAAGCAATTCTTCTGCCTCAGCCTCCCAAGTAGCTGGGACAACAGGCACATACCACCATGAATGGGTAATGTTTGTATTTTTAGTAGAGATGGGGCTTCGCCATGTTGGCCAGGCTGGCCTCGAACTCCTGACCTCAGGTGATCCACCCGCCTCGGCCTCCCAAAGTGCTGGGATTACAGGCATGAGCCACCGCGCCTGGCCTTAACCATGTTAAGTGTATAGTTCAATAGTGTAAGTATATCCAGATTTATGAAACAGATCTCTAGAGCTTTTTCATGATCCCAAACTGAAACTCTGTCCCCATTCAACACTGACTCCCTATTCCTCCCTCCCCCAGGCCCTAGCAGCCACCATCTGACTTTCTGTTTCTATGAATGCAGCTCCGCTGCGTATCGCGTATACATGGAATCATGCAGTATGTGTCCTTTCATGATCCAGTTATTTCACTTAGCACAGTGGCTAAATGATGAACCTCAAGGTTCATCCGTGTGTAGCACATGCCAGAATGTCCTTCCTTGTTGAGACTGAATAACATTCCATCATATGGAGACACCACATTTTGTTTATCTGCTCATCTGTTGCTGGACGCTTGTGTTGCTTCTGTATCCTGGCTCTGTGGATAATGCTGCTGTGAACCTGGGTGTGCAGATAGAAGAAAATGTGTCAGTGAATGCGGCAGGTAGCAACAAGGAGATGACTTCCCAGTGCCTGCTCAGTGCTAACGCAGGACAGTGAGGCTCAGGGTGGTGATGGGGGAAGGGTGCCAATGGAGCCGTCCAAAGCCTGCACATGGTGTTTAGGATTTAGAAGACAAGCAAACAAGTGTAGCGCGGCCTGAGACTGTGCTTTTTCTGCGCTGGTCATGCTGGGATGGACCCAAGAGGCATTAGTAGTGTGCTATCCGCCTCCCTGCCTCCCCTCCACACTGCCTCTCACACGCCCCTCCCCTCTTAGTTGACCGTAAACCTATTTTCACAAGTGTTCAGGGTGAGAAGGGCTCTTGACTAAGTTAAGGCTCAGGCGCTGGGCTTGGAAGCGGCCGAGTGCCCAACCCCGTGTGTGGGACCGCTGCCTGCGCACAGGGGCAGCCCGGCATGGGGCCTCCGCAGAACGTCACTGCAGCCTTTGTTCACTGGCGTCTGTGGAGCCTTTTCCATTCTGGGCTGCCATCCCTTTGGCACCCAGAGGACTTTCCTGCCACCCAAACAGCAGATGGTCAGGAAATGAAGACTCACACTAACATCAACCAGAGGAAAATCTCATTCAATTGGCAGAATCTGCAGTGAGCGAAGCACGCGGCTGGACACATGTCATCTTCTTAGGGCAATGCCCTCTGCCAGTGGGACAGTAAGTGCTAGAAACCGTGGGCACTCTGGCCTTCGAAAGCCGATGACCCGCAACCAACCGCTGGGCAGGT